CCCCTGCTGGGTATCTTCCCAAAAGAATTAAAAGAATCATACCACAGTGATATATGTGCACCCATGTTTATAGCGGCACAGTTCATAATAGCTAAAGCTTGGAAGCAGCCCAAGTGCCCATCAACTGGAAACTGGATAAAGAAGATGTGGTTTTCTTATAAAATGGAGTACTACTCAGCCATAGAGAATGAGAAACTAGAGACATTTATAGCTAAATGGATGCATACTGAGGCCATACTCTTAAGTGAAATAAGTAGGACACACGTGTAAATACTGAATAGTTTCTCTAGTGTGAAAGTGTAAATAAGGACTAAAAGGATTAATAACTAATAATTGATACTTTGAAATAGGAAAAGGTCCAAAGGGGTAGGGGAAGTGGGGGGGGGGAGGAAAGAAGGGAAAGGAAAAAGTATGAGAAAATTAAAAAATGGAAACAAATCTGTGTACATAGGGAAGGGTGGAGGGGGTGAAGGGCGCACTGGTAATGGGGAATAAATAAGAACCAAGATATATCATGTACAGGTACAAGCACCCAATAATAAATGTAAATGTATTGTATACCTAAAATGTACCAATAAAAGAATTTAAGCAAAAAAAAAGAAACAGACTAAAGAAAACCACATGATCATTCAACTGATTCAGAAAGACTATTTGAAAAAATTCATCAGTATATGATAAAAAAAACCTTAGCAAACTAGGAATAAAGAGTACTTCTTAATGTATAAAGTTCCTAAAAGAACCAACAGATAAAATAACTCTTAATGGTGAAAATTTAAATGCTTCCTCCTTATGATCAGGAGTAAGACAATGAGTCCACTCTCACCACTCCTATTCAACACTATACTGGAAGTTTGAGAACACCAAAATTTGAGAAAAAAATAAAGGCAGATGGGCGTAGTGGCACATGCCTGTAATCCCACCATTCTAGGGAGAGAGGAGGCTCAAAAATTCAATCCTAGCCTAGGAAATTTATATGTTGGGGATGTACATCAGTGGTAGAGCTCCTGCATAGCATGTGTAAGGCCCTGGGTTCAGCCCTGAGTATCACCAAAAACAGGGCAATCAACTGAATATTAAATAAATAAGATTTGAACAGACACTTCCCCAAAGAAGATATATAAGTGGGCTGGGGATTTAGCTCAGTAGTTTTGCTGCCTGCTGCGCAAGCACAAGGACCCAAGTTCGATCCCCGGTACAAAATAACAACAACAAAAAAAAAAAAGAAAAAAAAAAAAAAAAATATATATATATATGGAAAGTAACCACAAGAAAAGATAGCCCACTAGGATTGTCCACTGGGAAATACAAATTAACACTAAAATTAGCCACTACTTTTTTATTTAAATGATTAAAAATTAAAATACTGACAATAATTATGCTGGTGAGGATATAGAGCAACCAGAACTCATAAATTGTTGGTGGGGCCAGATGTGGTAGCAAATGCCTGTAATCCCGGCACTCTTGGAAGATGAAGCAAGAAAATTGCAAGTTTGAACCCATACTGGGAACTTGGCAACTTAGCAAAAACCTGTCTCAAAATCAAGAGCTAAGTGTGGTGGTGCACGCCTGTAATCTCACTACTTGGGAGGCTGAGACAGGAGGATTACTCTGAGTTCAAGGCCAGCCTGGGCTACATAGTGAGTTTAAGGCCAGTCTAAAAGGCACAGCAAGACCTACCTCAAAAACCACAGAAAAGGGCCAGGGATCTAGCTCAGTGGTTCTGCCACCTGTCTCACAAGTGCAAGGTCCTGAGTTTGATCCCCGGTACCGAAAAAAACAAAAATTTTTTAGGGCTGGGGATTTAGCTCAGTGGTTCTGCCGCCTGCCTCGAAAGTGGAAGGTCCCGAGTTCAAATTCCAGTACCAAAAATATTTTAATTAAAGGATTAGGGTATGTAGCTCACTGTAAAGGCCCTGGGTTCAATCTCAAACTGCAAAACAGTTGATGAAGATGCAAAATAGTACAATTACTACAAAAAACAGGCAGTTTCTTATAAACGTACGACTCAGCAACCCAGCTCCTTGGTATTTACCCTAGAGAAATGAAAACCTGTGTTCACAAATGTTCATAGCAGTTCTATTCATGGTCACCAAATGTCCATCACAATACGAAAGAATAAGCTGGGGCCCATCCACCCAATAGAACCCTACTTAGTAATAAAAAGGATGTAGTGGTAGGAATGACTTCCAAAGACACTGAGCCAAGTCACAGAAGCCAGCCTCATGTGCCCTGACCCAGAAGCAGCCAGTCCCTAACTGTTCCCTAGTCAGCTGCAGATGCACCTGATACCACAGCTCTGCCCCCTGCTTTGGGGATCACTTATTCTGTTCATGTGAGCACTGCCCTGGGCTAGTGCTTTCTGATGCCAGCTGAGAGCACCAAGCCCCAAATACAGATCCTGGACGAAGCCCTCCTCCGACGCCTCTGCCTGACCCCTGCCCAGGCTGCCCTTGCACCTGCACTGTCTCCTCCCAGGTACCAGGCCCACTGATGCCCCCATAGAGCTACAGACATCCCTGCCCTGTTATTTCTCCAGGACCCTGCAGGGCCCAGGGCTCTATTAACAATAGTCTCCCTGTGCTGCTGATCCCCACCTCAAAACAGTGGGACTGGAGCACTGTGGCTAGGCCCAAGGAGAACAGGGTCACTCTCAACTGCTCTAAGGCCATGGTTTAAGGTCCTGGGTTCTGTGTGTAGGCAAATCTGAGAGCAAATCTGGGCTGGTCCACATCCTTGTGACATCAGGCAGGTGGTTGCTCTCTGGATTTGAAATAATAAAAGTTCCTAGAAGAGAAGAGAAAAGATCCTAGAAGAAGAAGAGAAAGAAAAGGGGAGGGGAGGAAGAGGAAGAGAAGGAAGAGGAACCAGCCTCAAAAGTTGCCTACTAGGGCTGGGGATTTAGCTCAGTGGTTCTGCCGCCTGCCTCACAAGCACAAGGATGATCCCCGGTTCGATCCCCAGTATCAAAAAAAAAAAAGTTGTCTACCATAGGATTCCATTTATGTGATATTCTCAAAAAGAGCTTAGTGGTTGCCACAGTTAGTGATAAGTAAAGTCTGACTAGACAGGGTAGAAGACTATGTATGTAGCTCAGGGGTAGAGCATTTGTCTGGTTGCAGGAGGCCCTAAGTCCCATCCCAAGCATCACAAGGAAAAAAAGGGGGGCACAGGGATTTTTTTAGACAACTAATTTTCTTTCTTTTTTTTTTTTTTGGTACCAGGGATCGAACTCGGATCCTTCCGCTTGCAAGGCAGGTGGCAGAACCACTGAGCTAAATCCCCAGCTGAGACAACTAATTTTCATTGTGGTTGTGATGGTGGTTACATGAATTTATATACATTATAATTTCTCACTTACAGAACTGTATACCCCTTCCAAAGTCAATTTTATTGTACGATAATTTTTTAAACTTTAAAACCTAATCTACCATACCAAGCAAGTTTGTTGCATGTAAATTTTACTAACTAGTCAGAGCAACTATGATCCTCATTTTTGGGTCTCTGTGCATTTAAGGAGTGAAAGGATAGAAAAGACCCTACACTCTGAGGGCATAGGAAAGATCCTACATCTGAGGCCTGGGGCAACTCAAGGGTTGAAGCCCAGGAAGGAAGCTCAGACAGCAAGGAGACTGTTTGTGATCCTAGTGCCCCTGGGGTCAAGAAGGGTGCCAGGGCCTTCAGTGCCACCAAAACCAGCTCAGACTCCAGCCAATGGTCAAGAAGGAGTCACCATAGGGGCTAAGAACATCCAAGGGAGGTTCTGAAGGTGTGGTAGGTGAGGGAATGAAGGGCCTGGGATAAGCATGGCAGGAGTGAGCTCCTGGTAGCTGGAGTAAAGGGACAAGATGCAAGCCTCTCAAGACTACTGTGGGTGACCCTCAGCTACAATGGTGCCAGCACTCCAGGGTCTCTTCTCCTGACCCCACCCCATCCCCACCATTCTGATCCCTTTCCCCTTCAGGAAGGGGTGGCAAGGAAAAAGAGAAGCCAGTGAGGATCCCAATGTGTCCCTTAACAGCCCTAGCACCTACAGTGGACAGTGGGTCTCCCAGAAATGGGCCGTGCTAAGATGGCCCCTTCCTCTCAGCCTCTGCCCTGGACATTTCTCCTGCAGCAGCTCCAACCCGATATGTGACTGTGGCCTGCTAACTCCAGCATGGTCCTTCCCACAAGACCTGGGGTCGACTTGATGGATCCTGCTCCCTGGGACACTCTATTGCTCTTTATAGATTTTCATTGTGGCTGTTACCTGATCTCATACCATCACTTGTTCGCTAGCCTGTCTCTTCCCTCATCCAGTTCCTTATAAGCAGTGTCTGAGCATTTTCTTTGTGTCCCCAGATGCTAAATAGTGCCATCACATAGCAAATACTAAATAAATGCTCATGAATGAACAATTATAAATTAAAATAAAGCCAGATTGCTTCTCTGGGGAGACCCACAGCCCTTGGGTTCTGAGATCCTTCCCTCCATTCCCAGGGAGAAAAGTCCTATCACTGCTCCTTCTTGTAGGGGTGGTGGTGAGCAGAAAGTGACTAGGCCTGAGAGGTCTCTACATCTGGAAGGTGGATTTCAGCACTGAGAGCTGGACAGCAACCAGATGAGCAAGGACTGGAAGATAGGAAGGAGGGGGAGAAGGCTGGGGAAGCAAGAAATGAGAGATGCGAAGGATTTGGAGGGGTTGGGGAGGGGGCCAGGGAAGCCAGCATGAGAGAGGAGCAAACTCTCTACACCACTGTCACCCTGCCTCCAACAGCAGAAACCTGCCAGGGTTCTGTCCATATCATGCTTTCCCAGTGAGGAGGCCCTGGGAAGGGCAAAATTGGGGAAGATCCTATGACCTCTAAAGACCAGGCTGAGCCTCCACACCCTCAGGAATGTGAGGTGACTTCCCCCAAGGGCATCTACCTCCTTCCTGGTGCTGCCCTGTCTGTGGTGGTGACTCAGGTCAGGGCAAGAAGGAAACTGTGAGGCCCACTTCAGTGACATGTTGCTGTTGGTCACTAGGTCTCAAAACCTATAGCTTTTGTGTGGCAAGTGGGTGGCAACTTCTGGAGTCTCTTTCTCTCTAGTGTGCCATGTGGCTTATCCAGGGACTGGGGATACCTGAAATGCATCCATCCACTCTTCCTCCTATGCCCTCACCTAGCCTTCAGTGTGTCCATATTTGTTAGTCTAGAGGCAAATGTAAGAAAAACTCAAACTAGCTCAAAAGGGGGGACCTGGCCAACAAGGCAAGGCTGAATGCTGAAGTCCAAACAATACTGTCCTGGCTCTTTCTTACTCTCCTTTACCTGGAAAAAAAAATCTCCTCGCCCCCCCCCCACCACCATATTATGGTGGTAAAATGACAACCAGCAGCTCCTCCTACCCTACACAGCTACTTCTCTTCCCAACAGCTCCAAATGAAAGTTCCAAATTTGAACACAACTGGATTAAACAAGATCTATGCACCAACCCCAATCGCCATAGCTACAGACATCTGATAATCCAGTTGGCTCAGTAAGAGCTTCCCCAACCCATGGAGGCCAGAACCCCGTGACTTCACGTAGGTGATAAAACAGCAGTACGCTCATGGCCCACTCAGTTTCCCCATGTTTCCTGGACACTGCTCAGCTCTTGCTCCTCCCTGCTTGGTTTCCCCTCAGTAAACATCACCATGTCCATTGCTATCTCACACCACAACCAACCCACCAGCAAGACATCAGTGCTTCCTTCAAATGCCCATCCCAAAAATGGCTGTGTGAGCACCTCTGCTGCCAGCCCCTCACACATCCTCTTCAGACTGCTGCAGTACCACTGTAGCTTCCCAACTGGCCTCCCACCCCACCTGGCCCCACCTCTAATTAATTCTCAACACAGCTAATGAAGGGCAGTTTTTACCTTTTCAATGGGAACCAGATCCAGTCACTGCTCTCAATCCTCTCATAGCCTCTCAATGCATTTGAACCAAATCCTAAGCCTTTCCTATGACCCACAAAGCCCTACCTGAACTGGTCCACACCCCCAGCTCACTCATCACATGCCCACCACAACGCACCCTCTCCCATAGACTCCAAGTGTGGGGTGCTCTTCCCCTGAGTCTTCCCTAATTCAGGCCCCCTCAATGTTACATCTCCAGAGGTCCTACAGACAATCTGCTTATCTCCGTCCTCTTACTTTGCTTTCTCTCTTCATAATACTAACCACCTGACTGTTATATACAGTGTCAGCTTGTTCCTTTTCTTCGTGGCCTCCAGAAGGTGAGCTTCTTGAATGCAGGAACTTTTTCCTGTTCATTTCTGGATTCCCCCTTATCCCAGAAGAGGAGGTACATTTATGCTGCTGCTGAGCTCCACTAGGGCAGGACAACAGGGGAAGTAAAAGCTACCAACACCTTCTGATCCTCAAACCATTTTCAGGGGCTTGGGTTAGAATCTGATCCCTCTGGACCCAGAAGCACAAATGCAGGCAGAGGGTTCCCCACTCACTCCAGACGCCCAACTCAGCACAGTCTGCCTCTCCAGCTTCCTGACCTGACCTGGGTGGGAATGTGTGGTCCACCTGACTTACCAGCCCTGCTGCCTTCAGTTCAGCTCTCAGACCCCAAGGCCAGGCCTCATGTGTAATCAGATGGCTTGGACCCCTCCCAGCTCAGAGCAGTGGGCGGGAAGCTGCCTAGATAAGGTCATGGAGGGGACTTGGGGACCAGGAACTAGGAGCCAGCTAAGGTCTATAACCTCAGTTCTTCGGAAAAGGATAAAGGTTCTCAGGCCAGCAGAACGGCCAAGCTGAGAGCCTGTTGGAGTCCTGTGTCTTCCAACGCCTCTCTCAACTCAGTCCTCAGTGCACCTCACCCTCACCCTCAAAAGCTTCGAGAGACAAGGCCCAAAAAGGAGGCTTTTAATACAAAGAGTGGGGCAGGGTCTAGGAAGAACTTAAATAAGGAGCCGGATGATGCAAACTGAGTTCCGAGCCTCTTTGATCCGCCACCATCGGCCAAGCCTGCAGAGGGCAGAAGGAGCAGCTGGGAACAACCCAGACCCCACCCAGGCTGTACCCCATTCCCATCCACTGCCCAGCCAGTGCCACCTTGCCCTGTACCCTGCCCCCCAGGGGGATCATGTACCTGTGCTCCTGCCCTACTCCGGCCACTAGGAAGTCCCCACCACTGGAGAACTTGAGGCTGTTGATAAAACCCACCTGAGGAGAGGAACATGATACTACATTAGAACACCTCTCTGCTCCAGTCCCCAGTATCACCGTCAAGGGCTTGGAGTTAAAACCGAGCTCTGCTTTACCCCTCAGAGCCTCAGCCTTCACATCTAGGAGGAAGGAGGGCATTGGGTATGTCAAGGGCATGGGCTGGCACTGGCTGCTGGTTGTGGAGTGCTAGAAACCTAGGCCAGCGCTCTCAGATCTACTGAAAATGGTGCTGCCCTCCGCTGTGACCCAGTATGGACAGTCAATTCAACATGCCCCAGCCTGGCTATCAAGCTGGCACCGGCCTTATAGAAACAATCACAGTGCCAGGTCCTGTCTTGCACCAGACACCCAGGAGAAGACCTAGGACAGAGGCTGCAGGAGGGGACAAGGGAGAGAAGGAAAGAAGGCTAAGGTCCTGCCAAGCCTGTGCCAGGAGCTGCCCCTCCTTTCTGAGGCAGTTCCTGGGCAAGAAGGACATTAAGAGCTCATTCTAGGGGCCAGGAACTTCACGGTCCTCAAATGGGGTGAAAACAGGACAAGTATTCAAGCCCCACTCACCAGAGGGATGTCGAGGAGGTGATCGAGCCGCCGGAAGCCCTCACCACACTGCCAAAGCCTCACACAAGAGCTGTGGGAGCCTGGGAATGGGACAATGAGCAACTGCTGCAGCAGCCCACCCTGTGACCCCCACTTCCCTGCCTCAGGGCACCCACCTGTAGCCACAAGGTCGGTGTTAAGGAGGGCTGCCACCGATGACACCCAGAAGGGCTGCTCCAGGCCTGGCTCCCCCTGCAGCCCGTGAGCTTCCCGCTGCAGGGCGAGTGGCCGCTTCTTAGAGAGGCCCCACAAGGCCACAGAGCTGTGGATGGGGGCAGCAGGTGAGGGACCAGGGACAGGACAGAAAGACACAGGCCAGAGAGGGACCAAGTCCACATGCCAGCCGTGGGAGATGACCAAGGTCATCGGTGCCTGTGACATCTATGACCATGGTTACAACAGCTTCCCCACAGAGTGGGGTTCTAAGAGGAACCTCTAAGAAGCAA